TATTATTATATAATGGGTGTGTCTAATTGGTTCTTAGAAGAGTGAGAGGGCAGCAAAGTCCTCAAAGTTCTTCGGGCTCCGGGTCCAGGTCCAGGACTACTTGTCGGAAAAATAACCAATCTCTGAGTAAATTCAAGGCCTCTGTAAATGCTTAGCTTCAAGATAGGGTTAGGTGTCACTTGCTTAGTAGGGTGTAGATACAAACAAAAATGGGGACCAAAACGTAAAAAAAGGCCTGAAACAATGAAAATTGCGTCAGGATTCAGAAGAATAAGGTATGTACGATTTATTTGAATATTTCTAGCAGTAAAGCCTCAATTTAGTAATTAAAAAGTAAGAAAATAAGGGACTTACCAATGGAAATTGGCCTTTTTTTCACAGATACAAAAACGTGGAACCAAAGCTTTAGATTTTTCTCCCTAATTCGTCACTAAATCAGCAAAACAATGCTTCGGTGCTATAATCAGAACTAATAGTCACCTTTTAACGAATTATTCGGGATCTAAACTTTCGAAAATCAGCTAAAAGCCACGAGAAAAGCAAAAACGTTGCCTCTTTCTCAACGAAAAATGTGGTTCTGTCACGAAATCGGTGTCTTCGCGCGGGAATTTTGGTTCTGGGGAAAAAGTTAGGGACTTTTCGATTTGAGGGTTTATAGCTTCAAATTTTCGAGCCAAAACTCAAACGACATCTATGAAACCAAAAGGAAACTATCATTGACAATAGACCCAAGAATCGTAACAATAGACCTATCTATTTTACCAGACAAAGAGGTAATTAGATGAAAACTTCATTGGATAAAAAAAAACACAGAACGCTCATTGCGCAAGACGAGGCAAAACGTACCAAGTTATGTTAGACTTACGTATAGCAATCCGTTCTTCTCATTTGCACGGGATAAAAAAGGAAGGAGAAAGACTGCATTTTGTGCAACGTATTTGTCAAAAACAATTTTCGAATGTCACTTATCAAGCTATGTCAAGTTGAATATCAATCGTACTTTTATTCTTCTCAAACCACAGGCAATAAACAAGGACAAGGAGATACCCAGCGTGCAAAACGAACACCTCTCACCTGTACTAGTTAGCCAATAGAAAAGCATTGGTTGCGTTCCTAAGCACTCAACATGTTGAGTGATTAGTCAGCGGCTATGTTGCAAACAGATGAAAATCAGCTCTAGGCCAATGAAAACTTTTCTACCTTGTACAGGGTGAATTTGGATGGTTTTAATAGGAAACATCAATTTCTGAGCGAGATACAAAAAAATGAACCCCCCACTCCGAGGGTCATATTTCATGAATTTTTGATTGGTGCAAACGGGTGCAAACCGCATTTTGATATCTTCAACCATTTAGCCGCTAGAGGGCGATTCTCGATTTTGAGCAATAATGCGAAACCATCATAACTTTTTTGTTTATGAAAATTATTGATTTCCGTAAAAGCTTTCTAGAAGCACTTTTTCAAGCAGAATTCAGTGACGTTCTCAGTTTTTTTCTAGTTGCTCCCAACTCCAAGATATTGACCAAAGTCTGGTTTTTTTCAATAGGACACTCTATATATTAATAGCTCATTAGAAAGCTCGGCTTTTTCTGATTTCAATGATATAAAGTTCGATAGGTTTATCTCTAATAGTTTTCGAGAAAAAAATTATTTTGGTTTTTGTCATAAGAAGTAATGTGTAAGAAAAGGAGTTTATATCTGTAAGGAAACTGAGAAAGGTCTCTTTCTAACTCATTGTTTCTTATGACAAAAGCCGAAATTTTTTTTTTTCTCAAAAACTGTTAGAGATAAACCTATCGAAATTTGTATCATTGAGATCAGCAAAAGCAGAGCTTTCTAATGAGCTATTGATATATAGGGTGTCCCATTAGAAAAAATCGGATTTTGGTCAATATCTTGAAATCGAGGCCCAATAGAAAAAAACTGAAAACGTCACTGAATTCTGCTTGAAAAAGTGCTTCTAGGAAGTTTTTTCGGAAATCAGTTATTTTTATAAACAAAAAAGTTATGAAGATTTCACAGTATTGCTCAAAATCGAGAATCGTCCTCTAACGGCTAAACGGTTTAAGATATCAAAATACGGTTTGCACCAATCAAAATTTCAAGAAATTTGAGCCTCGTAGTGGGGGGTTCATTTTTTTGTATCTCGCTCAGAAATTGACGTTTCCTATTAAAACCATCCAAATTCGGACACCCTGTACATTCCACTAGCTGGAACAAAGCCGCTTACTAATTAACTTGATTTATCATCTTTCTTAACATTCTTGTAAAATGAATTTTTCTTTTTTCAATTCCGTTTGAGTGGTTTTTTGAAAGAACTTTTTGGAGACGTTGAGCTGGGGCTAATTCGTCTATGCCCTCGCAGAATTGTCTCCATGATTTCCTTTTTGATTTTCTTAATTCACGGTTGTACTTGTCTAGGGATGTTCTATAGTCTGCCCAGTTGCCGTTAGTTTTTGCCTTGTTGAACAATTTTCTGGCATCTTGTTTCAGACGTCTCAGCTGCCCGTTCCACCAAGGCACATCCCTGTGGATTGCTTTCTGTTTTACGGGACAACTATTCTCATAATAGGAATCTATTATTGCATTTGTTAAATTGTCAGATGATGCCTCTAGCTCTTCTATTGTATTTATATCAGAAGGGAGTTCATCTAGACTCAGGCAGAGACCCTCCATAGAATACCCAGTTGATGAGTTTCGAGATTCTCGTCTGTGCGGAGTGATTTATTACTGCCTCTAAGTCGCACCTTATTGCTTGATGGTCCTACAGGGAAGGTTCATTTGACACAAGCCAGTTGGTTATTGTGTTAGATGTAAATGTGTCAGCTAGAGTCACGTCTAAGACCTCTTGTCTGACGGCGTTAATGAAAGTGGGTTTGTTACCTTTGTTGATAATGTCTATGTTGTTAGAGTTCAAATATTCAAAAAGGTACTCACCCCTTACATTTGTATCGATGTTTCCTCATCCTACCTGGTGATGGGCGTTGGTATCTGCCCCGATAATGTAGTGTCTGTTTCTCGCTCTGCACCACGTGATGAGTCATTGAACAATCTCTGGCGATGCTGAGTTTTCATCACGTGGAAAGTAGGCTGAGGCTATGAGAATATGCCTTGACCCCCCTTCCGTTGGCACTTCTACTAAAGCAGCTGACAAGTCTTGTGTGATGAACTTTTTGGAACAGGTAAGAATTTTGAATTTTTGTCAAGCAGCAATGCTGCTCTTGGTCTTTCGTGGTTAATGTTCTAAATTAACTTACATGATTTAATATTTAGGCCTTTTATTGAGCTTCCATTGACCCAGGGCTTTTGAAGAAGCCCTACGTTGATTTTTTTGTCCAAACATTCTTCTTCTAAGCTTACTAGTGGCAGCTTTTGAGTGTTGAAGATTTATTCGCATGCATTTGATGCTTGATAAGTTGCTTCTCTTTGGTTACTTGGAGGAAGTTATTAGAGTTGCACTCAGTTTCAGTTTTCGGATCCCGCCTGGGCACTTTCGTCTTTAGCCGCTTTCCAGCTGACGCTTTTGAGCACGCAATCGAGCTTTTGCGCGCGCAAATGCTTCAAGCGCATGTTCGTGTTCCAGCCGTACTGTGCTTCGAAAGCTGCTAATTTTTGCGTTTCAACCACAGAACACTGTGCTGCACTGTGCTTGAAGCACACAGCTGGAAAGCGGCTTTTATGACGCATTGAGTCTTTAGACGTGCGTGCCCTTGGTTCGGCGCCGCTTTCCTTTGGGGAACTTGGTTGCTCTGCAGCTGTTGTGCTCCGGCTTTGCGGTTTTATAGTCGTATGATCGAACTTGTAACTTACCGCGTAGCTTCCGGATTTAAGTTTTTCTGCGGATGCACTGTCCACAGAAAGGGTTAATGTGACCAGGTAGCCCTCGGCGTCACGTCGGATGACTCGCCAATTTTTGACGTTTAGGCCCTTATTTTGGCCTTGAACAAGATTGAGGATTTTCTCCGTGGAGTAATCCATGCTGCTTGGGAATCGAGCAACCAAGACGTCAGAGTGAGGAATGTCAGATTCCTCTACCATCTTTAGCGAAGCTTCCTAAGCTCCCAAGGCTTGATGGAAGCGACTGCAGTTTGCAGCCAACTGCTTGGTGGCTATATTTTCGCAAACTAGAGCGAGCCAGCCGGATCTGTTGTGGGCGCTCAGAAACTTCGGTTTGATCGGGCAATCTGATGCTACCTCTTCCACGATCTTGTCCACAATTGCCTCTTTAGTGGCTTGAATTTGCTCCACTGACAAAAGGCAATTGGGGAAGTTCTAGGTACATTTCTGCCCGTTTCCCTTGTCTTGGCTCTTTTTTTTCTTGGGGGGTGTTTCCTTCTGACCGGGCTCTTTTTCGCCCTTGTCAGAGGTTTTAGCCCTTTTTTGGGTTGGCTCAAGGGCTTTTTTGCGGGCTTCGTCTGCACTCATCCTTTTTTTTTTTTGAGGAATTTCATCCTCTATCTGGCAGCCTGATCCTCACGTCGCCCTTCAGTTGTAGGGCACTCAGATCTTTGCCGAGTTCTTCGTCTGAACGTAGAAGTTCTTTTTCTGTCTCAGTGGGGCTGTTACAGTCCCCTAATTCCATTTTTTCGTATGTGCTTGAGGCGTTATCATCCTTCGCCTTGATTGTTTTTTGTTGTGTGTCCATGTTAGGTCCGACGAGTAGCTAGGGAAGTAAACCATACAGCCGAGGCAAAGCCCCGGTCGGGCTAGTTAAGCCGTGTGGGGTCGCCACAACCTTGGAGTTCGCATAGTATCGACTGGGCTTTCCCCTAACCAGGCAGTCCTTGGCCTATGCTCTTCCACACACAACAAGATCCTGTGGCTCCCCAGAGAGGTTGCACGGAAACGTAAAATCGCTGACGGGTCCGGAGCGATTCTTCAAAAAAATTGGTCAAATCCCTGTGGGAATTCCATTCTTTTTGCCCACACTGTATAATAATAGCAGATAGCAGACGTTTGTGGCAGACGTCGTTAATTCCAAAAAATTGCAAATGTCAATCAAAATTTCTGTGTAAAAATGGACCCAAAACTTTTTTTGATAATTGTAATAATTGTTAGTTCCCAAATAAAACTTGGATATTGTTGTGAAGAAAGCGGTAATACAACTACTTATATTCCTCCAGGTAATATGAAATTCCCGTATGGCGATGAGTACCAGATGAGCTGCGATGTTTTAGAAAATGACACAAATTTAGTAAGTCCATTACTCGGAATCACACAAAATCACCTCACAAGCTGCAAGATTTAGAATTGGAAACTATTTTTCTAGATAATTTGTCAAGACAAAATCGATATCATTCCCGAATATGGAAGATGTCCATTTCCACCTGCAGATCCTGAAGACATGAAATTAACAAATCCCTACGTAAAGTGCCCCGACTTTCCTCAACAACCTCCGCCTGGACTTTTGCCTCCTCCAGGGTATGTTTTTCCTTTTCTAATTCGAAAACAAATCAAATACTGATTATTATTGTAGGATTTCAGTTGTGGCTTCTGAAGCATTGTGTAAAAGTTGTGACTTGCAACTAACACCAGATGGAGTAGCTGTTAACTTAAAATGTATTTGTTGTCATGATTTTCCAAGTTTAGAACGTTCTGTTAACTTGATCGAAAGGGATTTAGTTTTAACTGCGTATTTTGTGCAAATAGCCAATTATACATCTGTAATAGTTACAGGACAGGAAAATGTGAACACATGATGTGCGACTTGCGACTTACCTGACAAAACTTTTGACTTGTAATACTACATAATTTTTTTCCATATCTGCTACTATGTTAGGTTCACAGACCACTATCTAGAAACTAAAGAAGTCAGCAGTTGCTTGACAATAAAAAGTATTGGTTCAAGTTTTAGGAAAATATTTTATTTTTTACTAATAGAAAATAGCTTGCTGATTATAAGCGAGTTCTTTTGGCCGATCAACTATCAACTCGGTTGTAGAGTGAAGGTACCTACTAAAATTTTGAAATTCGCCTGCCCAAAGTAGAGGAAGGTAGGTATTAAATTAAAAAAGTTTTTTTCTTCCAACAACATGAGAAAATTGAATTTTACTGTTCTTATAGGGATGAGAAAGTAGACGTTTCTGATTCTAGCCCTGGAAAACATTCAAAAATGGCTAGGCAAGACTTCCAGAAAATGAATTCCTTCCAACACTATGAGAAAATTGAATTTTACTACCTCTACAGACAGGGTGTCTCACCGGGAACCGGAAACCATATCGATCTATATGTAAAAAACTGTATGCAGAAAAATTTTGAAAATTTGATAGTGTACCTACTAATGTCAATGGGGGCAATCCGGCTAAAATATTTTCAAGATGGTGGGTGGCACTTCTGGTTATACCGGAAGAAGACGTCAACTTGCTTATTTTAAATGAGACACCCTGTCTGTATATGATTGCATATTTGGATTCTACCTAAAATTCTGAGCAGATTTCATGTGATACACCCTATACACAAGTTCAACTGTTTTGGAAATATTGACAGTCGAAAATTGACTTTTTGCAAATTCGACAAGCTGTAAAACCTAAACGGTTAACTTTTGAGGAAAACCAATTTTACATCCCCGTTTTATGCGTGTATCAAAAGTCAAATTGCCGAAGCAATGTCAAAAAAATGCGAATTTCGCAGTTATGAGTACTAGGCTTTAAATTCTCATAAACTATCTTTGACTTTGACACCAACTTTGAATTTAACCGGAAATCGGAAATTAAATTTAATTGGAATTTTTATTCGTGGATTAAATTCAAAGTTGGTGTCCAATGATAATTTATAAAAATTTCAGACAGGAATGTAAAATTGGTTTTGCCCTAAAATTAACCGTTTAGGTTTTACAGCCTGTCAAAGTTGCAAAAAGTAAATTTTCGACTGTCAATATTTCTAAAACAGTTGAACTTAGGTATAGGGTATATCACATGAAATCTGCTCAGAATTTTACGTGGAATCTAAATATGCAATCATGCAATCATATACAGTGTGTCTCATTTAAAATAAGCAAGTTGACGTTTACTTCCGGTATAACCGAAAGTGCCACCATCTTGAAAATATTTCAGCCGAGTTGCCCCCGTTGACATTAGTAGACTGTCAAATTTTCAAAAAATTTCTGCATACAGTTTTACACGTATAGATCAATGTAATTCCTGGTGGTACACCCTGGTATAGGGACGCAAGAAATAGTAAATATTCTTGCGGTTTGGAATAAATTTTAGTTCAGAAAAAGCTGCGTTCGTTTTATTTATTAGGTTTCTCCAATAAAATTCTAGCATTAGGGGCCGGTCTATCAATAGCAGGTCATCCCCGGGTTAAGCATAACTCCAGGTGAACATAGCAATCATTGAGCCGCTTTCCAGTATGCACATTGGCGCGCTCTAGAGCCCTCGGGGGCGCCACGCACTAGATTTGTACCGTTCCAGTATCATGGCGTGAGACGCCTGTCTTAGTGTCAAATAAGTATGTCAAATTATAAAAATAATTGTTTGTGCAGTTTGTTTTTTTATTAATCAAAAATGAAAGAGAATCAAAACTATATATTTTAAAATGAAAATGTTCAGTCTTGAGATATAACAAGAAATAAATAGATAAATAGCCACTCACGGATGTGACAGCTGATAGGTTGACGCGTAAGTACAGCTCGGGGGCTCAACGCTCCGAGTAGCTCCGGGCGTCACACTCCCATACTGGAAAGCGGCTCTAGACACGCTTACCCCGGAGTTAAAACCAACCCGAAGGTGACTCGCTATTGAGAAACCGGTCCTAGAACAATATTACTGCTGGAACTTCGATACGCATAAAGAATTTTTTTGCCTATTTTTGAAGTCCAATTTCTCAGAAAGTATAAGAGATATTTGTTTACGGTTTGAAGCATATTGGGGCGCATTGTTTGGTGTTCAAGGCATATGGTATCGTGCTGATAAACAGTAACGTTATCTTCAACATACAGGGTGGACAGTAAAACAGTGCAAAGTTTGTCAAATTTCAGAGCGTCGCCATTTCTTTTCAAACATACTCCTGCTTTTTTTCTGGGTTTAGGAAGAATCAATAGTTCAATGGTAAAAAACAACTTGAAGGGTTTTTGAATAAATCTCGTAGTTTTGCAGAAATTTCATTTCACCTGAAAAATGACTTACATCACCCTGATTCTTTGTCTCAGTTATTCGAAACAATGTTCTTCATTATTGTTGGTTCAACGTTTTCGTCTTTTATTGTTTCAAAAAGATTTCATACAGGGTGGAAAAAAGTAAGTTTTTAATACTAATTATTGGATGGTCCGTGAAGACAATTGCCCCTCTGAGTAACTAGAGATAGTACGCGTCCAAACACGTAACATGTACAGTCGTGAGCACAAAAAGTGGGACACCCGTTTTTTCCTATTGTAAAACGGGTTCAACAGCTATACCTACGGCAATGACAGGGATTGTCATATTTGACAAAAAATCGATTGTAGAGAAAAGACTGATTTACGCAAAATAGCGAAAAATGACAAGACCTGTCAGTCGGGTGTCCTACTTTTTGTGCTCATGACTGTACCTACTGAAATTTATAGGGGGCACATCCTCTTTGTCAATTCATATGGTACCAACCTTTCTCTGCTTTATTAGGCTATTTTTCGCGAGGTTAATCAAGTATAATCGATTATGCTATGCTGGATTATGTGATTTGTCAATTGTGTCATGCTTCCCTAACTGCCCCACCATCAAATTCTGGGATACTCGAGGATCAAGAACACTTAATTTCTTTTGTGAGAACAAACCGAAAATCACCTTTTCTACGTTTAAAATCGACGAAAAAATTAACTAGCATAGCCTGAATCGCAATCATTCCATAGAGGTCTGCGGGTGACGTCATTACTATAAGCTGATGATAGTAACATCACTTGCAGGCTCAGAATTGGATGGAGAGGGAGTTTGGGAAGTATGACACAATTGACGTATCAAATAGTTATTTGCTTAGCATAATCAGATTATGTTTGATTATCCTCGCGATAAATTGCCTATTGTATAACCATTTTAGGAGCAAAATATGATTATATTATGTTTCCTAGGTGCAAAAGCTATTCTGTTCTCGAGACGCCGAGATATTTGGTGAATTATTAGCACGTATTATGTCATCAGGGGGACTATTTATACAGGGGTGGTAAAAAGCACCAGAACAGTTGAATCTCTTTCAAACCCGCTTAAAAAAACTGCATTCTCAAATTTCTTTATCTGGAAGATTCCGGACATACAAAATTAAATGATTCAATGATATCGGCGCTGCTGTCAGATCTACCAGCTTTACCCTACATCATTGTCCAATTTTGTTTGCCCAGAAACCTCCAGATAACGAAATCTGGGAAAGCAGCATAAGTGGGTTTGAAGAGATTCAACCGTTCCAGTATTTTTTACCACCCCTGTATAAGTAGCCTCCTTATGACGTGGTACGTGCTAATGATTCACCATCAAATATCTCGGTGACTCGAGAACAGAATAGCTTTTCCACCTAGGAAATATAATATAATCATATTTTGCTCTCAGAATGGTTATACAATAAAGCAGAGAAAGATTGGTGCCATATCAATTAACAAAGAAAACTTGTGCCCCCTATCCTATAAATTGCAGTTCATGTTACCTACGTGTTACGACCCGTGCTATCTTTAGTTACTATGAGCCGCAATTATCTTTACTTATGTCCCTCCCAATAATTAGTATTAAAAATTTAATTTTTTTTTTCATCCTGTATAAAATCTTAAAACAAAAAAAGACGAAAACGTTGAACCAACAATAATGAAGAAAATTGTTTTGAGTAACTGAGACAAAGAATCAGGGTGATGAAAGTCGTTTTTCAGTTAAACTGAAATTTCTGCAAAACTACACGAGATTTATTCAAAAACCCTTCAAGTTGTTTTTTACCATTGATCTACTGATTCTGCTTAAACCCAGAAAAAAAGCAGGAGTATGTTTGAAAAGAAATAGCGACGTCCTGAAATTTGTCAAACTTTCCACTGTTTTATTGTCCACTCTGTATGTTGAAGATAACGTTTCTGTTTATCAGCGCGATACATACACCTTGAACACCAAGCAATGCACCCCAATATGCTTCAAACCGTAATCAAATATCTCTTATACTTTCTGAGATATTTGACTTCAAAAATAGGCAAAAAATTTCTTTATGCGTATCGAAGTTCCAGCAGTTTAGTTCAATTCTGGGTTCACTAGTAATACAAGCACAGCTTGAATCGCAAGAATTTCATCGACGTCACATCTGGGTCCTTATTCTTGAAACAAGCGAGCAGCCTTCCCAGAAGAACGAGTGTTTCGTCTTTCTCAATGTTATGCAAAAGATAATAAGTAACAAAGACGGAACACTCGTTCTCCCGGGAACGTTGCTCCCTAGTTTCAAGAGAAAGAACCTAGTAGGCTGCTGATAATGGTGATGTCACTCGCAGCAGTCGCACCCCCTGCCGACTCGAAGAGTCGAGTTGGCGAACGTACGCGTTAATACACACTACTAAGGTTTGCTTATCGGCCTCATTTTTGGTAATCGCCGCCATATTGATGGGTCACCATTTCCAACGTCATAACTAAGTCGTCAGCTGTTTGCACTAGCGGTCGTAGCGTTAATCGTAGGTCGTAATTTAGAATTTAAATTTATGATGAAATATATTATTTAATTTTGCTTAACATAATAGGCAAAGAGGAAGATGAAAACGATATCTAAAAAAGATTTGTTTTAGAATGTTAATTAATGTAGTGAACGGTTTGTTTCTGCTCTGCTGTAATCACAAACCAGTCAGAGCGAATTTCATTGGTTGAAAACAATCAGAAATAGTCAGAACACTAGTTTCAACCAATGAAATTCACTCTGACTG